TCCTGCGCCCTGAACCTGGCTTTGTCTGGGAACGGCACTCGTCGCTGCTTGCCGGCGAGGCACCCATCACACAGTTGATCGACGTGGTCAATCACGGGGAGTCCACGGACCATCTCCGCTTGCGCCAATCTTCGGAGGGCCTGGAAATTGAGGTGGCCGAAACGGGCGTGCCAACGCCACGCCGTCTCGGTGCCATTCGCCGCCAAACAGATGGGCCTCGCCATGTTCAACTTCAGAATGTACAGAAAGCTTGGGGAGCGCTTTACCTTGGCAAGCAGTAGACCATCAGGATCACGCAGCGTGCAGACACCATGGTATATGTGAGCATCGTAGCCACGCGCGTCAAGCCGGCCGATGGAGATGATATTCTTGCACAGCTTGGGGATGAAATACACTGCCTCTAGCGAGCGATGATCTCCATTCTTGCACTGGAACAACACGGTGCCGCGTCCCCTGATGTCCACAACTGAGCCATCACCAAACTTCACAGTACCAACAACACCGGTGTCGAGGTCAGCGAATGCCGACCGAGAGCCGGTCATATGATTGGTGGCCCCGGTATCCAGGAACCATTCCGTGGTGTTGTCCTCCTCTTCTGCAACCTCATGATCCAGAATCACCTTTTTCTCAGTGAGATGCACCTCGTGCACACCAGGTGTTCGCCCGAGTGTCTCCTCACCGGCGAGAGACACCCCCATGACGTGAGCCATGAGCAAGGTCGGCTCCTCCTCCCCCTGCGTCAGATTTACTTCCCCTCGACGTTGGCGCCGCGGCTTGCGGCACTGCCTTGCAAAATGCCCAAACTCATCACAATTGAAACATTTTACCTTGGAGTAGTCACGGCTGGTGTTCCCACTGTTGATCGTCTCCTTCCCCTTCGGTGACCCACCGGCCTTGCCCCGACGGTTGTTCTGGGTGCCAGAGCTGCCCCTGCTCTTGCTGCTGCCGCCGGAGCCTTCCTGCTCCTGTTTCCTTGCGCGTGCCTGCCACTGTTCCTCCGTGAGGTAGAGCTTGCCGCCGCCACCTTCCTCCTCATCATCACTGTATGAGTCGACCGTCGACAGCCGCCCAACGAGCTCCTCAAGGGCCATCGTTTTCACGTCGAGAAGCTGCTCGAGGGAAATCGCCACCGGCTTGTACTTCTTGGGCACAACGCGCAGCAGTTTCTTGTTGATGTGTTCGTCTTCCATGACTCCACCCATGTCGCGAATGTCCGCGACGACGGCAGTGAGTCGCATCGCGAACTCCTCCGGTGTCTCTCCATCCTTGAAGCGCATCGCCTCGAATTGGCGACGGAAGCCCTGCTCCTTCGCCTCACGCACACGGTCAACGCCGACCCGCATGGTCTTGATGGCGTCCCACGCCGCCTTCGCCGTGTCATGCTTCTCCAGCCCGCGCAACATCTCGCGCGGCACCGCCTGAAGGATTGCCGAGAGAGCCGCCCGATCGTCGCGGTACTCCGCGTATCCGGGTTCAATCGCCGTCCACAACCCCTGCGCCTGTAGGTTTACACGCATCAACAATGCCCAATCCGGATAATTTGTCCTCGACAGCACCGGGAGGCGAGCAGTGTGCCCAGCATCTCTCCCCTGTGGCACGAGAGGAAGGTTCGCGCCGTCTGCGCCACCCCCCACGCCGCTGCCACTTGCGCCTCCGCGCCCGCTGCCGCTTCCGCCGCCGCCACCGCCACCACGGCGTCCGGGCGGTGTGTATCGCCCACCATCATCAGACATCGTCTCAGGACCGTCGTGGTACCGCTCTGATACCAATTGTCAGCAAAACGGAAAGAACAAACTCTGAAATCGCTCACACTCGCTCACTCTGAAAATTGCCGGACAACGACAGTAACCTTAAGAAGTTCGGGAAACGTCAAGAACTGAAGAACAAAGTAGAATTTTTGTGCAGCGCAACTTCTGCTGCTTTTCTGTTTTCACTCTTTATTCTCCTCCACCAAAACGGAGTTTGTTACATGCACAACTGAACGGAACGAGCAACCCGGATCGGCTACTGACCGCGCCATCCCACGATCTGAAACCAGGTCATTCGGCAGCTAAACAAAACTGACAACATGCAGAAGGAAACAGCTATTCTACCGACCAGCCAAAACAACCTTCAGCCAGCCACTACGTTCATGCAAAACAGAAATATAAAATGCTCAAGATTACAAAATATCCAATAGGCGGCACATGTCCCGTGCTCCCTCGCCGCTAGGAGTGCTTCGAGCAAGAAGAGGGTGGAGAAGTGCTCGCGACAAGAAGTCTACGAGAAGGCAACGACACCGGCGAGAGGTGGCAAGAAGTGCTCACGCCATCCTTGCGACACGATTCAGTCAAGCGGCAACGCATATGCCAAATCGCCATTCTTGCGATGCGATTTAGCTCTCATCACTCACCTCTCGTCTCGCCAGCAAGTCAGCAGGAAAAATCACCATTGGCCTTTTCGGCGACGAGGTCCTCGCCGGTGCGTCCCGGTTCTTGTCGCTTGGTGTTGGCTAGTCAAGATCGTGTGGGGCTACATGCAAGCAGGACGGCGTGATGTCACACCCGGCCATCCCGGCGACCGACCGGCTAGCGGCGGAGATGGACGCCGCACGCGCGCGCAATGCAGTGGGGACAGGAGTGGCGTCCACACAACTCCCGCGGGCCGCGGCAGAAGGCGGCGAGGCAGCGGCGACCGAACAACTGAGCTTGTGGCGCCCGTCGAGGAAGAAGCGACCGAGCGGGCAAGCGGGTCGTCACCGGACACCGGAGGTGGAGAGAGAGAGAGAGTGAGGAGGAATAGAGAGGTGAGGAAAAAGAAAAACAAATAATAGGACATGGGGGGGTTATTATTTTTTTCTCGCTGACATGTGGGTCCCCTAAGTGCTACATAGGACGAAACTACTATCCAAACAGCCGAGGGACTCAATTTGCTCTGGTTTTCAAAGATGGAGGAAGCGTTATACCCGGTATTGCGGTTGAGGGAGGTGATTCAATCATAGGCAAGAGTTGAGGGAGGCAATTTAGACTTATTCCTAAAGATAGAGAACAACAGTGTGAAACTGGCCTTTTAAGTTCCAATAATAGGCCTAGTTTAGTCTAGACCTACAACAGAAGACGTGACCCACGTAGGCCCACTTAATTTCGATCGCAATCAATAGTGCAAAAAGTCACTGTACATCCTTTAACTATATGTTGAGTTTGATTCACACACCATAATCGGAAAACCGGGTATAGAGTGCACCCTAACTTCTAAAACCGGATCAATTGACATCCCTCGACGGTTTACATTATGGTTCTAGTATTACGTGGCGCCTATGTGGCAGTGGCTCCACTTGTCATCCTCTTTCTCAAATTATTAGCTGTGACCCATATTATCAGCACCCTCTCTCTCCTCCCTACTCCCTCCTCTATCTCTCTCCCTCATCTTCTCTCACCACAAGGCCACATGTCATCGCTATTTTTTGCCTCGTCGAGAAGTTTGATGCGTTCGCAGCAGCGAGGGAGCCCGAGCGATGCTACGTCAAGCTCGTTGCCACTCTTGCGTGAGGGCTCAAGGACCAGAACCAGGCTCATCCTCTATATAGCGCGACCGGCGCCTCCGCTTCAACATCAGTAGTGACACCGGCCAAGCGCCGAGCTCCTCCTCACGAAAAAAAATTCTCCGCGGTAGTCCTGCATGATACTTCCCGTGCGATAGTGCATAGACTAGCGATGTGTGTCTCGTATGCTGCAGCCCAACTACCCGAGCCCTTTCTTTGAGCCCAGCTGACGTCTCCCGCAACACCGCATAGACCAAGCCATATCACCTTATGTAATTTCTTTATGTGCTAGATTAAGAACACTAATTCCAAATCCAATTCCAACAAGATACATTGGAATGAGAAGATAGGAATCGGCCTTCAATATAGCTACAACAAACCTAACATCAGCTACTTGTCATCGATCATCATGTTACTGTCGTGGTTTGTCCAGGTCCTTGGAGCACGCCACCATGTTCGAGTCCATCCCCAGCAGGAACACCGACGGCACCAATAAAACAGGTGCTAAGGACGGTGGTGGGTGGGCCACCATATGGATTGGTGGAGGACGGAGCCGTGTAGCTGCCGCCGTCGTCTTAAATTTTGGGATGATGGACAAAAGAGTTATAGCCAATCTCATGGAGGAGAGGCGGTGGGTAGAAGTCACCAACAATGGTAGACGCACGACGGAAAATGGTGCCTCAATGAATTCTTGGGCAGCTTGGCTCGCCGGAAGTTGTGGCTTGGTCTACTCGGTATTGTAGGACAGGTCACCTCGGCTTGGGATGCAACAGACATGACATGCGTCACTAGTCTATGCAGTGTTCACGGGAAGCGTCGTGCGGCACTACCCGCGGAGATTATTTTCCCTCCTTACTTTGGCTCTCGCATGCGTGGAGGAAGGAAGGTTTAGGCAGAGGCTAATAAGTGGGCGGGTAAGCTGTAAGCAGATCAAGATCTTTATCAGCTGCGCCGTACAACGCGTGCCTCTGCTCGACCAGGTACCGTGTAGCATCACGGTTACGGTAAGTTGTCGTGATCCTTTTTTTTTTCTTTTGCCTGTCTTATGGGAAAACTATTGTAAACTTTTAAGATGACGTTTTCTTGTTGTTTGTATAACTTATAAAAAACTTAATAAGATAGTTAAATATATGATAGGTCAATTCAAGAGCGTGAGCTAGTCCTCACGAAGTCACTGATTTTCCGAGCTTTTTCCCGAGACTAATCCTGTAATCCAAGGCTAACCAAAGACTAATATAAAGGCACCCCGCAAGCGTGAGCATTATCCGTGCAGTGAGACTAATTTCTGGCCAAGCGTGTCTAGGAAGCGCCACGAGCGCGTGACTGCTGCGTGCAAGCGCATGCGGTGCGCCCTTGTCAAGAGACAAAGCCCACTAAAGAGAAGGACTGAAGGAGAAAAACTCGATCGACAGACTTCCACCAACGCGAAGCGGCACCAAGAAAGACCGTCCGCCGGCATCCGTCGCCCACCGATCATCCGATGGCGTCCTCCTCGGTGGCGGCGACGGCGGCGGAGCCGGGGCCGCACGCGGCGGGAGAGAAGGTGGCGGCGGCCGCGGTGTTCTGGCACGAGGGCATGCTGGCCCACGACGCCGGCCGCGGCGTGTTCGGCAGGGGCCTCGACCCGGGCTTCCTCGACGTGCTCGACCATCACCCGGAGAACGCCGACCGCGTCCGCAACATGGTCTCCATCCTCCGCCGCGGCCCCATCGCGCGCTTCCTCTCCTGGCACTCCGGCCGCCCCGCCCACGCCGCCGAGCTCCTCTCCTTCCACTCTGCCGGTCAGCCCCCAATTATAATCTTGTAGTCTCAAATCCTGAAAAATAATAGACCCACTCCGGTGCCTTCTACTTTTAGTAGAAAATAATCTGAACCGTTCATCTCATTTGATCATAGGGTTCAGATCTATTTCTATTACCATCACATTTAATGGTAGTAGAATTGTAGAGGGATATTTTTGTCCATAAAAAAATATTTGCGGAGGGATATTTCCGTCTTTCCTGGGCTCCAGCTGCCGCCGCCCCGCGTGCTGCTCCTCCTGCTGGCCATCCATGGCGCCACCACCACCCGCTCGCCACCGCGACGACTCGCAAGGGGAAGCTTCATAAACTGGATCGTTGGAATGGGTTTCACGCAGAATTCTAGCGAGATGGGCCTATTCACGTTACATTAGCTCGGGTAAAGAGGAAGCAAAGCACAAATTTAATGGATCAGGCTCACGGAAGTTGAGCTACTTCTTTTCATAGCAAATTCAGGATGTTGATTCTGGTATAGCAATAGAGCATACTGTCCATGTCCAAATTAAATTCTTGATTCAAATTCAGAATCAGATTCTTGATTCTGGTGAAGTCATCCACGAAAATTAACATTACCGTGCCTGCTGATGCTGAGGCTACAGAAGCTCCTGCTCTCCCGCACCAGCCTCCTCAACAGCCGGCTCCACGCACGTCTGTAGCTGTCGTCGCGGTTGCCGCCGCCGGCGGCATCGTCGCGCGAGAGGAGGTAGAACCACGCGGGGCTCCTCTGCACCGCCGCCCCTGTGCGCATGCCGGAAGTCGTCAGGGCGGCGCCAGAAGCTCCTGCGGCGGGGAAGCGGACGCCGGCAGAGAAGGGAACAAAACAAGAGGGGGCGCCGGAGAGTATTGCCACTGGTGGAAGGGAACGTGATGCACAAGCGCCGGCGGCGGAAGGAGTCGCTCTCTCCACCTCCGCTCGAATGCGATGGATGAGGAAGCGGTGGCAGCGCTGCTTTTTCTGAAACATCCTAGCGATCCACGACGAGAAATAAATTAAGTGCCAAATTTATCCCAAATCTATCTCAGAACATTACTAATCTACCCTTAAAAATAAAAGGTTCAGATTAGTCTACTCGTAGTACTCCCCCGTTTCGAAATATTTGACACCATTGACTTTTTAGCACATATTTGATCGTTCGTCTTATTCAAAAACTTTTATGAAATATGTAAAATTATATGCCTACATAAAAATATATTTAACAATGAATTAAATGATAGGAAAATAATCAATAATTACTTAAATTTTTTGAATAAGACGAACGGTCAAACATGTGCTAAAAAGTTAACGGTGTCAAACATTTTGAAACAGAGGGAGTATAATATTACCAGTAGAAAGCACCGGAGCATTGCTCGAAAAATGAAACTTCTGATTGCCTTGTTATCATCTTTGATCATCTGCTCTTTGTGTCTTGTGACTTGTGAGTGCTACATGCCATTTGCAAAAGGAATTTCTGAACATAAGTGCACTTAGTAAGTACTAAGTACTATCTATGAATCTTGTCGTGGTTGGCAGAATACAGAGGAGCTCGTGCAAGCAGATTCTGCTGGTGCCAACAACAACAAGATATGTGAATGCACTTTCTTGAACCCTGGTTCCTGGGATGCTGCGCTTCTGGCGGCTGGAACAACCTTATCAGCGATGAAGCACATACTAGACGGGCATGCCAAGATTGCCTACGCCTTGGTCCGACCCCCTGGCCATCATGCGCAACCCGACCGTGCCGATGGCTACTGCTTTCTGAACAATGCCGGGCTTGCAGTGAAGCTGGCTCTGGATTCAGGGCGCAGAAGGGTCGCCGTTGTTGATATCGATGTGCACTATGGGAATGGCACTGCAGAGGGGTTCTACCACACAGACAGCGTGCTGACGATCTCTCTTCACATGAAGCATGGTTCATGGGGTCCATCGCATCCCCAGAGCGGCTTGGTTGATGAGACTGGTGAAGGCAGGGGTCTTGGGTACAATCTCAATATCCCTCTGCCTAATGGCAGTGGGGATGCAGGGTATGAATATGCGATGAATGAATTAGTCGTTCCGGCCATTGAGAAGTTTCGCCCTGAGCTTATGGTTTTCGTTGTTGGCCAAGATTCTAGTGCGGTGAGTCAAGTTTGTGCCTGTCTTAGGCCCTGTTTCTTTCAGCTTGGGATTATTATAATCTAAATTATTAGGAGTAAGCGGAAAGAAACATACAACTTATTGAAGTAGCTTATTATAATCTGGAGCCCAGTTTATTATAATCTGATAAGCTCATTTAGGTGAGCTTTTTTCAGATTATTGGATGAAAAATTACCCACCATGCCACCCCACTCCCTCTTTAGACTTGCAAACCCAATAATCTAGACTCTAATAATCTAGAAAATAAACAACTAACCGCTTATTCTACTACAGATTATTACAATATAGCTTATAGTAATCTGACTCAATAATCTAGATTATAATAATATTAAACTGAAAGAAACAGGGCCTTACACAGTTACACTTAATCATTATGTTGGAGTAATAATATTAGGTCTCTTTAAAATCCCCATCAGCTCAATCCTAATTTCACCACATTGTTTTACAAAACGAAACTATCTATCATAGCAATAAATTGTTATTGTTTTTGCTGCATATGTTTTAAATCATACATGAATCAGACTAGTTAATTGTTATTATGCCCATGCAGTTTGATCCTAATGGAAGACAGTGCTTAACCATGGATGGTTATAGGAAAATTGGACAAATAATGAGGGGCATGGCTGATCAACACAGCAATGGTCAAATACTGATTGTCCAGGAAGGAGGTTATCACATCACCTATTCGGCATATTGTCTGCATGCAACGCTGGAAGGTGTTTTGAATCTGCAGGCCCCATTGCTTGATGACCCATTGGGTTTTTATCCAGATGATGAAAAATACACCATGCAAGCCGTGGACATCATCAAGAAATGCTGGAAAGAATCTATTCCGTTCTTGAAGGATATATAGAAATCCAAGCCTCAATTTCATATCAAGAGTCTAGGCTCATGGTCTTTCGCCTTAAAGTACATATGTACTGGAGAAGCATCCGAATGCTTGCCCCTCTCATGAACGACCTCCAAATTTTCAATTCTCACTGGTATTGTATGTATCATGTAGTTGTACCATTGTTTACTTGCAGAACCAGTAAGAAATAACAGGGGTTAAACAAACTAGACAAAACTTCAACCCCTTTACTATATAGCAGAAGCTCCTATATATAATCCCATATCCGGTAGTGGAGGCCATGGCAGATTTCACCATTGTTTACTAATCCCTCCGTCCTCTAATATAAATGTTTTTGAAATTTCGCTTGCACTGTTTGACAACTCTTTTTATTCAAAAAATTTGTGCAAATATAAAAAAAAGAAAAGTTGTGCTTTAAAGTACTTTGGATAATAAAGTAAGTCAAAAAAATAATAATTTCAAATTTTTTTTAACAAGACGAATGGTTAAACAGTGCAAGCAAAATGTCAAAATCCTATATATTAGGGGACGGAGGGAGTAGTATACTTCATGCCTATCAAAATAAACCAACCTAGTACAAAATGTGACGCATTCTAGATTATGCTTGTATATGTGGAGCTTAGTTGTTGAGCTGAATAAGTATAAATACTCCATCTTCCACATTTAAAAATGTTTTGGTATTTCATCAATCGTCTAGATTCATTAATATCCACATAATTTTAGGTACTTATATTAAAAAAATGCATAAATCTTGACATAAATCTATTCAAAACCTATAATATTATAATATTATAGTAATATGAAAAGAGGAAGTACTATTAAAGAAAAAACATATAGACTTTGGTACAGCGAACAACAATATATCTATATCTAATATAAAAATACGCAAGGTTTCCGGTGTTTTTTCATCCGTTTTCCTTTTTTCGCGATTTTCCTTTTTTTTCACCGTTTTCCCTTTTTTCCTTTTTTCCCGTCCGTTTTTTTCGCCCTTTTTTCCCTCCCGTCTTTCTCTTTTGTTTTTTTCGTCCTTTTTCTTTTCGCCCTTTTTTTCATCCATCTTTTTTTTCTGTTATTTATTTTTTTCGTCGCCTTTTTTTCTTTTTCATCCATTTTTTTCGTTTTTTATGTCGCGCTCTTTTACACGTGAAAGAGTACGTGTACACGATAAGGATTTATTTTTTTATCTGCCCAGTTTTTTCGTCACCGGGCTGGTAAGGATTGTTTTTTACATACTCAGTTTTTTAGTCACCGGACCAAACCCTAACGTCGTCGCTACGTAGATCTGCCTCCCCATATGTTCCCTCTTCCAATTAATTGTAAAAATCGATTTCCCGCTACTCCCTATCATTTCCCCCACATGAATTTTCCTTTTAATTTCACTTTAATTTATTGGATTTAATCACCATTTAAAAGTCACTGTTTTTATCCCGGAGTTTTGCATATTCATTTCAATTTGATAAAAACGGAAACAGAAGATCGAGTGTATCAAAAACCCTCAACCAATTTTAGAAGATCAAGAAAGATTCGACCGGATTTGATAAGAATGATTAGTTCTAGCATCGTACGGACACGGAACTGTCTTCCGGAGGTTAAGGACGGTAGTCGACCATACAAGCTGAGCCTACAACTCCACTTGTGGGCTAGGTTAAAGAGAGGCAGGCCACGTAGAGGAAGACAACGAGGTGGGTTGGGACTGAAAAATGTATAGCGATAAAAATGATTTTAGCCATTGCAACGTACGGGTTATAGTAACTACAAAAATACAACATGGTGCAGCTGGTCCTCGGAAAAAGTACACCGAAGGTCCCTCAACTTGTCAGCGAGATACAAAATCATCCTGGTGCAGCTGGTCCTTGGAAAAAGTACACCGAAGGTCCCTCAATTTGTCAGCGAGATACAAAATCATCCTCGAAGCACAAAACCAGATATACGGGGTCCCTTAACTATATAAAACCGGTCACCCGAGATCCCTCGACGGTTTTGACACCGGTTTTATCCTACGTGGCGGCTGAGTCAGCGTGGGATCCACATGTCATGGTGCCACCTCATCTCTTCCCTCTTATTTCCCCTCTTCTCCCTTTCTCTCTCTCTCTCACTTTTCTCAGCTGACGACGGGGGGAGCAAGGCGGCGGCGGGAGGAGCAAGGCGGGGGGAGAAAGATGGCGACGCGGCGGCCGCACCAAGTCCGCCAGCAGAAGAGGAAGGAGCAGCGCGCGGCGGCGTCGGCGGGAGAGGAGGGAGCGGCGCCACCACTTTCACCAGCGCCCACAGCGACAGCTTGCCGGCGCCGCTCGCCGCGGCGATGACGACGACCGTGGATGCCACGACGGCCGCCAAGTGGAGAAGGAGGAAAAGACCACGGCGGTCGGCCGCGCCGGTTGCCGCCGAGTGGAATCCGCACGCGGGCGGGAGCTCGAAGCCGCCCCCTCCCCCCTCCCCTCCCCCCCCCCCCCCCCCCGCGCCGCCGCCGCAGAGGAGGAGGAGGAGACCATGACGGTCGACCACGCCGATTGCCGCCGAGTGGCAGCTGCACGCGGGCGGGAGCTCAAAGCCGCCCCCCGCCGCTAACGACGCGTCCGACGACTCGCCCTCCACTTTCTGCTCTTGCGGCGCGGGGGCCTTCGCGGACGCCATGGCGGAGGCGGCGGCATCGTGGTCGGGGAAGCGTGGGTGCCGCGACTAGGGGCGGAGGCAACGACGAAGCAGGAGTAGGCCGTGGGGCGCCGCTGGCCTCGACGGGGTTCTCGCGGCGGCTGCATCGCTCCCCCTGCCTCGTCCCTTTCAGTCGTCGCCGCTGACACTACCTTGCTCCCTCCTGCGGCCGCCAAGCGGCGCTGTGCCATGGCGACGGCAACGAGGATGCTGACGGCGGCGTTGCCTCCGCCGGCGCGACGCCGGCTGCCGGACCTCCTCCCCACAGCGCCGCCCGTCGCCGGCTCAGAAAAGTGAGAGAGAGAAAGGGAGAAGAGGGGAAATAAGAGGGAAGAGATGAGGTGGCACCCTGATATGTGGGCTCACGTGGGTCCCACGCTGACTCAGCCGCCACGCTGACTCAAAACCGTCGAGTGTTATCGGGTGACCGGTTTTGTATAGTTAAGTAACCCCGTATATTTGGTTTTGCGGTTCGATGATGATTTCGTATCTCGCTGACAAGTTGAGGGACCTTCGGTGTACTTTTTCCGCTGGTCCTCCAATACTCGGCCCACTTTACTAGGTTCTCCATCAGACAATGAGGCCCACCAGAATTTCGATCTTATACGGCCCACGCATATCTTGTTAATTTCCAGCGCTGCGAGCCTGCACGAACTCACGTAGCCCCGGAGGAAGAAGACTCTCGGTCAAGAGTCAAGACTTCGACCAATCGACCAACACGAAGCGGCAAAGGAAACGTCACCGTCGCGGCGTCGCCGATGGAGTCGTCCGCCTCCTCCTCGGCCGCGGTGGCGGCGGAGGGGGCGCCGGCGACGGGGGAGCAGCTGGCGGTGTTCTGGCACGAGGGCATGGTGGCCCACGACGCCGGCCGCGGCGTGTTCGACTCGGGCCGCGACCCGGGCTTCCTCGACGTGCTCGACCAGCACCCGGAGAACGCCGACCGCGTCCGCAACATGGTCTCCATCCTCCGCCGCGGCCCCATCGCGCGCTTCATCTCCTGGCACTCCGGCCGCCCCGCCCACGCCGCCGAGCTCCTCTCCTTCCACTCCGCCGGTTAGCCCCAAATCTCGCTATCTCAAATCTTGGGGAAAAAAAACTCTAATTGACTTGGCCCATAGTTAGCATTCTCGATTTTTATTATCTGTTACGGCGATTGTTACATCCTCATTTGCATATGGAATCGCAGAAGATTAGTGTACTTAATAGTTTGTATAAATCTTGTTATGGTTGACAGAATACATAGAGGAGCTCGTGCAAGCAAATGCCGTTGGTGCCAAGAAGCTGTGTGAAGGCACTTTCTTGAACCCTGGATCCTGGGGTGCTGCGCTTCTGGCGGCTGGAACAACTTTATCAGCGATGAAGCACATACTAGATGGACATGCCAAGATTGCCTATGCGTTGGTCCGCCCCCCTGGCCATCATGCGCAACCGGACCGTGCTGATGGTTACTGCTTCCTGAACAATGCTGGGCTTGCAGTGAAGCTGGCTCTGGATTCAGGACGCAGAAAGGTTGCTGTTGTTGATATTGACGTGCACTATGGAAATGGCACTGCGGAGGGCTTCTACCACACAGACAGCGTGCTGACGATCTCTCTTCACATGAAGCATGGTTCATGGGGTCCATCACATCCCCAGAGTGGCTCGGTGGATGAGATTGGTGAAGGCAGGGGTCTTGGGTACAATCTCAATATTCCTTTGCCTAATGGCAGTGGGGATGCAGGGTATGAGTATGCGATGAATGAATTAGTTGTTCCAGCCATAGAGAAGTTTCGTCCTGAGCTTTTGGTTTTTGTTGTTGGCCAAGATTCTAGTACGGTGAGTCGAACTGGCATCTATCTTAGTTCATTGCATTTTGCATTTGCTAAGAGTCTAAGATTCCACACTATCGTAATATAATTTTTCTTTTATGCAATTATAGCTGCTGTTTCATTTGACAAGCAAGGTTTAATGTACTTATATAATAATTTTCTTGCGTGTTCAAGAAAAAAAAGTGTACTTATATAAACAATCCTAATAAATTCGGATAATCTTTTGCCATCACCTAAGAAAACAACAACATTTTGATTACAATATTAGCACTAGTCAATGGTGTAAAGATTTAATTCTTGTGTTTATAGCTTTATATATCTAAACCAAGACAATACTATCAAAAGAGTTCAAAATAATCTGTCTCTAGGATATTCTGAAATCATTACTATGTTGGAATAATAATTTTGGATCTTTGCAAAGTCGCATCTTACCAAAACCTAATTTCACCTTTTCCTTGCCTCCCTGAATAATGCACCACTCATATGCAGTGATACTTAATACATTGTTTTACAATACGAAACTATCTATCATAGTGATGGTTTAACTGCATATTTCAAAATTATATCTGAAACAAACTTATTAATGGTTGTTATTCCCTTGCAGTTTGATCCCAATGGAAGACAGTGCTTAACCATGGATGGTTATCGGAAAATTGGGCAAATAATGAGAGGCATGGCTGATCAACACAGCAATGGTCAAATATTGATCGTGCAGGAAGGGGGTTATCACATCAGCTATTCGGCATATTGTCTGCATGCAACACTAGAAGGTGTTCTGAATCTACAAGCCCCGTTGCTTGATGATCCAATCGCCTATTATCCAGAGGATGAGAAATACACCATGAAAGTTGTGGACATCATGAAGAAATGCTGGAAAGAATCTATTCCATTCTTGAAGGACATATAGAAATCCATTTCTTTTAGATGCGAGTGCCCTTGAACCTCAATTTCATATCAGTGCACCGTCTATTCTTATGGCCTTTTGACTGAAAGTACATGCATTCATTGGAGCAACATTCGAGTGCTTGTTCCTTTCATAAACCCCTGATTCACAAGTTCTCAATTCACATTGGTATTGTACATACATCATGTCAAACTCTACCATCTTATATTTGTGGACCTCAATTGCTGCGCCTAATAAGTAACGCTGACTAACAGATGGGCTGTTTGATTATGCAATGGGGCATTGGGGCTACAGCCACCTGTATTATATAAGCGCACCAGTTCCAAGTCTGAAACCAAGTGCCAAGTCTGAATTATTGTCTAGCAAGGAATGCTACCTGCTGCCACATCACTCGTCAACTTACTGCCTACAGCAATACTGGAAGGTAATTTTTCAATATGACTACTGCTAGTGCTAGGTGATCCAATTGCTTGCCACCCAGTGAATGAATCGTCCATCTGTTGCAAAAGCTGGTCACACTGCCAAGAAATGCCAGAAAGAATCAAATTCCTTTGGAAGTGGCTCTTTGGAAGGAATACATCCATCTTCTTGTGATTTGCGGGTGTCATCTCGCTCCATGGAACCATATTCTACCTGCGTCAGCGACTTATCTCCGATGATTTTTTGCAGCAAATCATACGCGCCGCAAATGCTTTTTCAGGCGGTGCGATGCGTCGATCTCTATCGAGGCGGTTTCTTTTCCGAGTCCGTGTGTTTGTGGTGAACTGCTCCGTCGTATGGCTGCAATGCTATGCAAAAATTTTGCTCGGTTGCTTGCTTTCGCACCTGGAGTTCTTGAAGAATTCTGTACAGGTGGACTTTTATCTGAAATTCTCTGGTCAACTTCATCTCCCAAGTAGAGACGCGCTTCCGCCGCGGCTACTGCCGACAGCGCTCGTGCAACCTGGCACCGACCGACCACGAAAGCTGCATATTTTTTTTAAGACGATGCTTAAGAAAACTTAAGGATGGTCTCAAAAAAAAAAGAAGAAAACTTAAGGATAAAATTTCCTATGCATCTCCCGGCCCAAATCCCCAATATTTGTTCCCTGTGCGTACGAGTAAATTATTATCAGGAAAAAGGAATTGGTAAGGGTCTGGTATCTAACATTTATGTAGTTTTAGATAAGTTTATTATCAAATCTATAATTTTCCTATTTTGTGGTTTAAATCTATGGTTTGTACTAATAATAAATTAGGTGTTAGATATGTTAGTTTTGCTTATAATATTGTTAAAAGTATTTTTGTAGTTTTGAAAAAAAGTAAAATTTCACAAAACTACAAGAAATTTGATTATTCTGTCACAAAACTACCGTAAATTTGTATCACAAAATAACATATTTTTGTGATAAGATTTCATAAATTGTAGTTTTACTATAAATTTTGACATTGGATCTATAGTCTATGATACAAATTTTAAAGATATAGTTTTGTGATAGTTTAGTGAAAATATCTCTAGTTTTATAAAATTTATTAACCCAAATATTCTTAAGGGCCTGTTTAGATCCAACCCCAAAATTTTACGTCCTGTCACATCGAACGTTTGAACACTTGCATAAAATATTAAACATAGGCTAAAAAAATAACTAGGGGCCTGTTTGGTACAGCTCCAACTCCTAAATTTAACTCCAGGAGTTGATTCTGGAGTGGAGTTGTGGAGCTGCCTAAACCCAGCTCCACAACTCTAGTACATTTTGTACATTTTGTAGTACATTTTGTGAGAGAGTTCCACTCAACTCCATTTCCAGTTTTAGTGGAGCTGAAACTGTTTGGCTGAGCTCTAGCTCTGGAGCTGGAGCTAGAGCTGTGCCAAACAGGCCCTAATTGTGCAGATTGCGACTAATTTGCGAGACGAGTCTTTTTAAGTCTAATTATACCATGATTTGATAATGTGGTGCTACAGTAAACATTTATTAATGACGGATTAATTAGGCTTAATAAATTCGTATCGTGGTTTACTGACGGATTCTATAATTAGTTTTTCTATTAGGACCCGAACATCCTATGTGACACTCTATATGATATCCGATGTGATATGAAAAACTTTACACAGGTAAATCTAAACATCCTCTGAAGACCAAGACCAAGGGGTTTCGTAGCAAAAGCTCCATCAGGATTCAGGAATCAGGACTGGAAGCCGCCAGTTGCGGGGACGTGAAATCGGCGTCTCGTCAATCCTACGGCCGCTCCGCTCTTCCCTTTTCCCGTGCTTGCACTCCAAAAACGCAAAAACCGCTTTCTTTTGCTTCCGTCCCTTTCCATTCGTCCTCCCTCCGCCTCTCTCGCCATCCGCCGCGGCGCCAACCGAGTCGATCCCCCCTCCCGCCCCCGCCGCCATGGGCCTCCTCTCGAACAGGTTCTCCACTCTCATCTCTCAACCCCTTCCATTACCTGGATCCTCTCTACCCTGCTGCGCCGCTAGTGCTATTTCTCAGTTCATTGTGCGAGGTTTGCTGTCTGCAGCGCTGTAGTTTCGGGTGATTTTTAGCCTGTTTTTTTTCCTTCAATCTGTGGTTAGGATTGGGAAGGAGACCCTGAAGGCGGGGGATCACATCTATTCGTGGAGGGCCGCGTGGGTCTACGCGCATCACGGTTAGGAGTCCCTCTCGTCTGTTCCTTTTCCCCTCTTTTTAAGTTTTGATTTGATCAGATGAATCAGGTTTCGTTACCTTTTTGAATTTGATGGCTGTCTGCGTCTTGGACCAACCAATGGGGTTAGAACAAGGGATTGATAGACTTCAGAGAATCTAGCCCAGTCTAATATCTGCAAAAGATTTGAATAATTCGGAAGTTTTAGGTAACTAGGTTACTAGGAGATCCATATGCTGTTTGGTGCTTGATTTTCTATATAACAGAAGGGATATCATGCAAATTCTATGGTGGAATTAGATGTGTAGTATATATGTTTGTTCTGTGTATACTCAATGAACTTGTTTTGATGCTATGTTGAAAGCCTTGGGGCAGATGAATTGGATTTGAATTGATTATCAGGCATGTGAGGCAACTGACCTGAATTTTTTGGGGGAGCACGCAAGAGAGTTGCACATATTATTTGTGTTCAGAACTTATGAAAATTTAACGAGGAAATTGCAATAGCAATTTTGTTTTTGCAACTAATAGCAGTTTTTTTTTTGGGAAAGACCAGCAGAGCTGGGGTATATATTGTACTCCCTCTGTTTCATATTATAAGTCGCTTTGAATTTTTTATAGTCAAACTTTTTCAAGTTTGATTAAGTTTATGAAAAAAATAGTAATATCTACAACACGAAATTAGTTTCATTCAAACTAACATTTAATATATTTTGACAATATGTTTGTTTTGTGTTGAAAATATTGCTATTTTTTTATATAAAGTTGGCCAAATTTAAAAAAAAAAACAAAAAAAAGTCAAAATGACTTATATAATATGAAACGGAGGGAGTAGTAGGGAAGATAACTTTACATGAGCACATGACAAGCCCTTGGAAGAAAGAAAACCAAAGAGAAGAAAAATAAAAGATTCACACGTTGGTTTTTTTATTATTATAAGATTAAATGCCAGGTAGAATACTGCAATAGCAGATAAAATAGATCTTGCACAAGCTGCAGTTGTTGCCATTTGTTGTAGATTTGGGTATGCAGTTACTTTTTTCTTGTAGTCTTTTTTTCCTTTTTTGTAGATATAACTGTATTTTTCATGCAGGAATATATGTGGGCGATGATAAGGTGATCCATTTTACTAGAGGAAGGGGCCAGGAGGTCGGAACAGGAACTTTCATTGACCTCCTCCTTATGAGCTCTGGTCCTAATACAAACACTCCATGTTCAATATGCAACAATGAAGGTGCCACCACCAATACGGAGACAAATGGTGTGGTATCCTCTTGCCTCAACTGCTTCCTGTCAGGGGGCGCCCTCTACCGTTTCGAGTATGCTGTCAACCCAGCACTTTTCCTTGCCAAAGCGCGAGGAGGGACGTGCACGCTTGCCCCAACTGATCCAGATGAGGTTGTTGTGCGCCGTGCCAATCACTTGCTCAGCAATGGTTTCAGGTGCTACAACCTGTTCAAGAGCAACTGTGAGGACTTCGCGATATACTGCAAGACAGGCCTCCTTGTGGCAGAGCAAGGTGTCGTCGGGCAGAGTGGGCAGGCCATCTCCATCATCGGTGGACCTCTTGCTGCGGTGATTTCAACCCCATTCCGCCTAGTAACCACGAATATCTATGGAATGGCGGTGATGGCAGTTGGGGTGTATTGCGCCAGCAGGTACGCAGCTGACATTGGCAACCGGCGAGATGTGCTGAAAGTGGAAGTGGAGGACCTGACTGCTGGGCTGGCGAGTGGCAGGATTCGTGCCGTGGAGAACATCAGTCAGTTGGTTGCTCCGGCAGAAGCCCAAGGTCTGGCCGTAACCGCACCTGTTGCTGCTTAAAGTGCACCACTGAGATCTATACATTACTCCAGACCTTCTGCTGCTAAATTTATGGATGTTTCGTTGTCAAATATCAGCTGAAATTGTGTACCAGAGTGAGCCTCCCATTCAGCAATAGCTGTACAAACAATGAAAAAACTTATACGCCCGTTTCTGCCATCAACTGTTATGTGTGGCTTATCTACTGTTGTATAAATTATGAACATGGAAGTGTGGTGCTTGTCGATTTGCAACTCAAGATTGTGACAGCTCTCTTATTTTAGGCAGTAATTCCACTTCATTAGGAGACGTTTGCTTGTAAGTGGGAAATATAATTCACCTGACCTGAGCCAACTTGGGATGTAGAGGTTAACTTTCATTCATGGCCTCATTGGGAGTTGTTGGGACACGGAAAAACTGCAATTTTGTTTGAGAATTCATATAACAGCAAAGCTCATAAGCCATTTTTTCACTCGAACTTCTATGTTAAAATGCTGGTTTGTTATGATGATCCTGAATTCCTAATCCTGATCTGATTTACTCCCCCTTCCCAATATAAGTGCATCAGAACATGATGTGATATGCCTCTAAGGGCTGTATTTTTCTCTCGCTATATTTAGTTAAAAAGCACAGTCTCGTGCTGTTTTTTCTTAAAAAAAATGATGTGATATATCCTATAACGTCACGTCCCGTTCTAGATGTATTTATATCGGGGCGGGAGGAGTACCATATATAAAGCAACTTGCAAATCAAGGTAGAAGCAGAAATGCTTGGTGCCAGAGCTTCTCGGATCATGGGCCAAATTCATTCTCTCGATCGGATCGTAGCCCATGTGCACTCGGTGATATCTATAGTGCACTGCTAGCAGCTGTAGCAACATATCCACCAGAAGGACACGTTGAAATTTCAAAGCATCATCGATCTAGCAACACGTACGCTGCATACTGGTACACACGTATAAGAGGAAATGTTTTCAATGAATGGACTCTGAATAATTGAACAGATCGCTCCGAAAAGGAAACCTGCTTTTCAATGTAACCAATAAGGCATCAGACTTTATTACATTAATCTTTTTATCTATCTCACAAGTATAGTTGTATACCCCTTACTCCTCCATGGTTTGATTACTTCGATGAATGGTCTCACTCTGCCGAAGACATATAACTATATGGTTATAAATTATACTTCTGAACAAAGATCAAAAGAAGATGAAAATATCTGGCATAGGATCGATCGCAACAAGAACAGCAGCAAATCAACGAGGAGATCGAGAGGAGTGAAAAATAATAATAAAAAAAATCATGGCCTGCAGAGAGCTGCTTCCAGTCCTTGGCAACCCAACGCGTTGCACCAGACATCGTCGTCGCCGGAGATGATGTCGTGGAGGCTGAGCGCGTCCTCGGGGAGCGAATCGAACGGCTCGTACTTGGCATGCTGGTCCAGCGTCGACGGCAGGATCAGATCTCCGCCGTCCGTCGTTGGCAACCCCAGCGAGGTGTAGCAGCTGATCTGGTCCACGCTGAAGTTGAGCTCCCCGAGCGCCTGCGCGCACCGCGCCATGGCTGCTGCACCGTGCTCCTCCGTGCTGATCGGCTCGCCGACGAGCCCGTCTTGCCCCGGGCCGTACGCCGCCGCCGCCGCAGGCTGCGCGGCGGCCGGGCTCGTCGTGCGATCGCTCGATGACCCGCTCGAGGTGTCGACCGATTCCGGCACGGCGGCGCCACCGCCCTGCTCCGCCATAGTAGGCTGGTGGTGGTTCAAGAACTTGGCGTACAGCAAGGCCAGGTCAATCGTGGAGCCGTCCGCCGCGGCGGGCTTCTCGTCCGGCGCCGCCACACCCGGCTGCTCGCCGAGGCCGGCGGAGGCGGCCGTGCTGCCGGCCATGCCTTCCAGGATCATGTCGGGCCGGACGGGCCCGTGGAACCGGTGAGAGAACGCCGCCGCGCCGCCGCCGCCGCCGCCGCGCGCCGTCATCGTCTCCCCGACCATGGCGCGCACCGCCTTGCCCCGCCGGTTCTTGCGGCACCCGCCGCCGACGGGCACGTTCCGGAGCGAGCCGCCCTTGGTCCAGTAGCGGCGGCACCCCTTGCAGAAGTAGCGCGGCTGGCTGAGGCTGTAGTTGTTGTAGTAGCAGAACTTGGTGTTGGGCGACTCGCACCGCGGGCAGTTGGGCGCAACCTCCACGTTCGGCCTGTACCGCCGTTGGTGGTGGTCGACCACCACCGCTCGCCGCCCGGCCGCCGCCGCGTACGCCAGCATGCTCTCACAGTGAGAAGACAGCATCGAGCTAGATTTAACTACAGGGAGAGATCGATCGATCTGCAGGGTGGATAAGGAAAGCTACGCAGGATGCAGCGATGATGTGAGAGGTTTTGCAGACGTGAGAGCTTCATCTGATGAGAGGAGAGAGCAGGGGAGAGAGGTCCAGTGCATATATATGTGGGGAAGTCCTCAGGTCTTATTTGACGCCTTTTAAATATATTTGATCGTTTATCTTAGTAAAAAGAACTTTTGTGAAATATGTAAAACTATATGTATACATAAAATATAATTAGCAATGAATCAAATCATAGGAAAAAATTAATAATTACTTAAGTTTTTTTAATAAGACGAATGGTCGAATATGTTTGAAAGAGTCAATTGTGTTAAATATTTAGGGACGGAGGAAGTACTATCTCTGTTTTTTAATAAATGACGCCGTTAACTTTTTATCACATATTTGACCATTCGTCTTATTCGAAAAATTTACGTAATTATAATTTTTTTTGTTGTGAGTTGTTTTATCACTTAAAGTACTTTAAGCATGATTTATATTTATACATTTATATAAAATTTTTTGAATAAGACGAATGTTCAAATATATGTTCAAAAGTCAACGGCGTCATCTATTATTAAAAAACGGAGGGAGTAATTGCCAGCAGCAGCTGATTAGCTAGGGTGAGATGTTTTCTTCGGTTGGTGACGACGCATGTGCATGCAACCAGTATGCGTTAATTACATCGATGTGGTTCGAGTTGCTAACTGCTATAGACAGCCTAGACCTGGAGGATATACCACTCTGGTACTACATCCGTTCTAAAATAAGTGCAGCTGTGAATATTCGTGTCTAACGTTTGACCGTCCATCTTATTTGAAAATTTTATGAAAAATTTAAAAATATTTAGTCACACATAAAATACTATTCATGTTTTATCATCTAATAGCAATAAAAATACTAATCATAAAAAAATTTCAAATAAGACGAACGGTCGAACGTTGAACATGAATAATGCAAAATTACACTTATTTTGGGATGGAGAGAGTAGTATGAATTATGTGATCAGTGGTTTTAAGTACGAAAAAAATTGGCAAACCAATTAAGTACCATCCCCAACAACCAGTGCTTGTGCAGTCTCTTTTGCACACAGAGCAGTGGTGTGGTGATACCTCTTAGGCCTCCTTTAATTCAAAGGAAATTCATAAGAATTTTAGAGGATTTCATTCCTATAGGAATTTTTCCTACAAAGCCCTTTGAATCAAAGGAATGAACCCTATGGAATCCTATGAAATTCCTATGGAATGCCTCTTCCCATACAAGTTTTGGAGGAATTTTAACAAGAGGTAGAACCTCATGGAAGAAATTCTTTGAGTCTTTATCTCTCCTCAAATTCCTGTGTTTTTCCTGTGGTCCAATCAAACGGTCATTCCTATGTTTTTCCTGTGTTTTGCAATCCTCTGTTTTACACTTACAGTCCTGTCAGAATCCTATATTTTTTCTATTCCTCCGTTTTTTTCATTCCTATGATTCAAAGGGGCCCTTAGTATTATGGCGGGGCGCCATAACAACCGCAAGTGCGATTCATTGATGGGAACGTAGAAAAGAAAAAAAAAACAATCACACTAAAAATCTATAAAATTAAAGAAAGACCTTGAGCTGTGGGGGATTTAATTAGCGCGGTAAGATTTGCAGGCGTCAGGTCACCATCGCGAAAGTTTGGTTTAAATGTCCCCCCGCGACTTTGGAGCCCTGCAGCGGCGCACAGTGCGCACGTACCGTACCTCGGCCGTGTGTCGTTTTGCCCATAGATCCCATCCATCGATCGGTCATCGTAACCGTACGTGGTCGCCTTCCACGTTCAGGACTCCCATCGTCATCATACTTTCTCATGCTTTGTCAGTTCAAAATAAACAAATCTATATGAAACGCGACATATCATACTTCTTCCGTCTCAAAACCTAAATATTTTTTAGGTTGAAAGTACTCTCTCCGTCCCAAAAAAAAAGTCAAATCATGGATTTCCGTGTCCAACTTTAACTGTCCGTCTTATATGAAATTTTTTTTATAATTCGTATTTTCATTATTGTTAGATGATAAAACATGATTAATATTTTATGCGTGACTTGTCTTTTTAAATTTTTTCATAATTTTTTCAAATAAGACGGACGGTCAAACGTTGGGCATGAAAATCAGGGTTTGTCTTTTTTTGGGACGGAGGGAGTATGTGATAATAATTAAAGGAAGTGTATGATTGATTGAGAAAAGAAAGTAGATGAAGAAGAATGATTGTGATTTTGGTTAAGAGCAGGAGGTGGGTAGTAAAATAGCTACATCACATTTTAAGATGATGGTAGTAATACTATAAATATATACGTGTCTTATATCCATCTGATACTAATTAAGTTTATTTATTTTGAGTACGTGTGGAGGAGCATGCAAGCGAGCGAGTGGGCATTGAATCGGGCGGAGTGCGATCGATGGCAGTAGGCAGCAGCGGGAGCGCCCGAAAGCCACGGCTCACATGGGCGCGAGCCCGGGACCATGGGAAAAAATGGCTACTAGTGCTGCTGCGACGCTAGTCCGGGCAAGCCAACGACCCCCCGGCCGTTTGACCTGGACGCGGGTCCAGCCTTTTCCGGATAACCTCCCCCAACGAAATTTGGTCCCTTCCTCCCGTCGTGTTCGTGCACTTCCAGAGTGAGGGTTGGGTGTTCCGTTTTTGTGCTGGCGATCGATCGATAACATGTTTTGTCGCCGGCTAGTAGCAAGCAAGCGAAGTGGCCGGGCCGGTTCAGCAGATTGTGCGGTTCAGCCCGTGCCGTGCCGTCCGTGTCTAGCTTCTTTTTTCAGAAATGGAACAGTTCTAACTGTCCCCCTCCAATGTCCAAAACTGTTGCCAGTGGATGCGTTCGTTCGTGCACATTTACTTCTGTCTTCTGTGAGTCGGCTAGAGTACAACGATCCTGTATTGCGGATTCGCCGTTCGCGTACGTATTTTAGCACTTGTTCGTGTAAACCAGGGGCCTGCTTGTACCGGTTTAAGATAAAAAACCACAGAGGTTTCGGCAGCGGCACGCCACAGATTGCACTGCTGCTCTTCACTGTGCGCATCTGCAGCGTTACCGGTGATCAATCTCACGAATCTGACAGCAATCCCCTGCTCCCTGACGTGATCCATCCGACCATCCGCTCGCCGTGGGCCCTCGCGAGGCTCTGGTTCGCTGCCTGCCACAACCACGTGCACCGTGAGCTCGATGCTCTGCAGATTTGGGGCCCTATTGACTGTTCAAACGTTTGTGGGCCTCCGTTTGTTTCATCTATTCCTGCACTGTGGCAGCGAGTGTTTTTCTCCCGGCCTCTGTCGTTTGCTTGGAGAACGACAAGGGCATCCGTTTCAAAACAGTTGACAAGAGAACAAGTGCATGCCTAGCTAACAGCCTAATTAAGTGATGCTCCTTTCTACGGTTGGCAATTACTATACTGCTTCAAGAGTTTCCATATCACGTAGGAGTAAGC